TCCGCGTCCAGTGTGCAGGAGCCTTTACTGTGTCCGGTGCCAGTTAATGATCTCAAAATCGTATACTAAAGTTTAACGTCAATTTAAGTTAACTACAATGATAATAAGTTAACTACAATAATTATTTTGTTGCTTTATTTTAATTTCTAATATTGTTAACTTATAAATAACGCTGGATAAAAAGAATGAAATATTATTATTTTTTATGTGTTTAAGAAAAACCTTAAGCGTCCGGCACTAGGCTCCCCCTGTATTATACATTGATACGTTGAATGTATTCTGATTGCTGCATACATTTTTAATATGCTTGTATACCATAGATTGTGCCATATATAGCACGTGATCATTCATTTCATTCATTCCGATTCGTAGCCCTACAACTCAAATCGAGCCCTGGCCTAGTTACCACTCCTCTTCACATGGCTGTGGTGCGCGCACGCTAATACATATATACACAGACATATATATGGGATCTACAGTTTAAAGCCGATTCTGAACGGTAATTGTTTTTGAGAGAGATTTTCGAGGCAAAGGATACTCTTAATGATTTGCCCGACCTCTGGAAGGGAGCTGCAATAACAGACCAGTACCATCAACGAGATACTATCAAAGATTATCATGCAGTCCTGGGCAAATTTTCGTGACCATCAAATTTTCATTCGATAGCACGTGACCAACGAGTCATATGTTTCACTGCATGCGCAAATTTCTGGACACTTTGAGAAACTACTAGAAAGTACGTTTCTCTCTCCAACCTCCTCCGGACACTGGTTTTACACAGGAATTATAAAAGTACATTGCCATAGTCCATTTATTCATAAGATCTATGATAATTAGCCATTTATTGACTAATTTTTTTTAATGTATAAAGACAGTAAGTAAAAAATGTTCTTCGCGAAAAGAAACAAATTGAAAAGGCATGCAATTTTCTGTGCAATTACTTGCATAAAGCTCGCGATAGTTGAGTCTATTATAATAAACGTTTGTTATAAGTTGGAGAAAGAGACATGTGAAAGATGTGCTTGTGCTTTTCGCATATATTGAGATAATTCGATCACAATAAAAAAACAATTATTTATATGCTAGAAAGAAGGTGAAGAAAATATTTCTTACTTTTTGTTCAAATGTAGATCAAGATGTTGAAATTGAAAATGTTCACAAAAAATTTGCTATGTTAGTATTGTTCGATCGTCTACGGAGTCGCATTAACTGTTCCAAAAATCGGAGAATGTTCCACGTGGATCGAATCGGAAAGGTGAAATGGTGGGGTAACCAAAGGGCGATTGGACATAAAGGCCCATTGAGCAAATAAATAGAACATAGACACGTATATGTATACTCACAGAGGGACGAGACTTTAGACTTTTCTGAGTATGGTGTACTTCATCCAAGCGAGAAGCGGACGGAGGGGGGGGGGAATAGTTTCAATATAACATTTTATCTCTCTTTTGTTTTAAGTGCGAAATATATAATTTCTACAAATACATACTTAGCGTGTAGCCTAGTGGGCATCCTAACCAAATACTGTTTTCTGTTAAATCACTCAAAATTTCTTAAAATTTGTCAAAAATTAAAATATTCTTTTTGAATACCTCGAATTCTAGGTGTGGAATTCTACATCCTGAACACCCACCGAAGCTGGGTGTGGAAAGTTTCATGTACATACTCTCTTATATAAGGATTGAAGTTCAAGGCACTG